TCCCCGCACACACACACACAAAGTGGCAAGTGTAAGCCTTTTTCTGCAATAGATTCATTTTGCATCTAATGGCAGGCACCTATTTCCCAGACTGAATTGTTGCATTATGTTTGTGCGGGGGTTATGAATTCCTCTATGACTTCAAATGGGATCAAGCTCTACTCTTCCTCCACCCCATATCCCATAAAAATGATCAGCATGTGAACACATCTTTAAATATCTTTAGTATCATTAAAAGCCTGGTGCTGCTTAGGAGACAGAATGAAGACAAGCTGTAACAGTGAGTCCAGAAAGGAGAACTTGTCCTCTCCTGTGCCTGTCTACTCAAGAGCAAATCTCACTTAAGGCAACAGGTTTTACCTTGAAATGCACTGCAATCTATTTGGTAGGAAACAAAAATTATTATTATTGGTGATGAAAGTTGAACACAAATGATTAATACTCTTTGAACAGTTGTGCTCTGTAAAATTGTACATAGAAGATGGGCCATAATGAAGAAAAAAAAGTTCCTAAAATGCAGACAGCATCAATTATATTTATCTTTCCTCTAGATGTGTGTACTTCAAACCCTAAATGAATTAAATGCACTTTAACATTCAAATGGTAATTATTTTTTAACAGTGCAAGCATCTCTTTTACAAGTCCACAATCAAACCCACTAGTTGCTCACATCATACTCATGGCAAGGATGACACTTACTTTGCTTGCACTAAACATATACCCTAATCAGCAAGTTTCATACTTTTTTTTTCATTTACAAAGGTATTCATATGAACTTTCCTAGTAAGGAGAGACTATGAAGTCAACCATATAAGACATACAAGAGAGGAAGAATGGACCATGTCTTAGATGTTAATGAAATTGTCACCCATTAGAAGAATAAAGACATGTGACAATAACTTTCACTATCTGTCTGTCTGTCTGTCTGTCTGTCTGTCTGTCTGTCTGTCAGTCATCTGTCTGTCTAGTTTGTATGCTGCCCATCAAGGTCACTCTGGGTTGTTCACAACATAATAAACAATTAATACAACAAATAATAACCATAACACACCTATAGCCTTCCCTTCCAGTTAATTCCTGTCCTCTTTCCTTTTTTTCTCTTTATTTGATTTATTTTGTATTTTTCCCATCTTGCAAAATCATTTAATTAAATAATTTGTTATAAATTTTTCTTGAACTTGATATGGTTTATGTTGTAAGCCGCCTAGAGTGGTCAAAATGACTAGATAGGCGGGGTATAAATACAATTAATAACAATAACAATAACAATAACAATAACAACAACAACAACAAAACAACAACAACAACAACAACACAACAACAATGCAAAAAATCAAATAAATATGCCACTCAAATTAAAAATAAAAACAACATGAAAACAATTAATAAAATCAAGATGGCAAAATGGGTAACTTAAGAACTGAAGGAACCTCTGCACACTGTTGATGCAATATCTTGAAATTCCTGTTTAAATAGCCATGGTTTTTTTCCCAAAGATCTCTTGAAGATCCCCAGTGATCCACCAGGCATAAATCACGGTCATCCAATTATGGCAAATAAACAATGGTAGCTGAATTTATGCAAATTACAATTACAGTCAGGATTACAAGAACTCAAATGTTCGTATCTGGGCTTTTATGAAATAAAGATGAAGGCTGGAGGTTCCTCTAATAAATGAATGCCTAAGGAAAGCCATTTTTTCACAGATATACATGTTCACAATTTAACTGAGGAATATTTCTTAACTCCAGAGGAAGAAACGGACATGGAAAAGATAACACAACATCAGTAAAAACAACATATCTTAAAATGAGCGCAACCCCCCCCCTACTATTTTTTGGCATACTCAGCAAGTATTTCATGTGTCGTAATACATGTCATGACAAAACATATGTGTTCCTTGTTACCAAACTCACATGGGATGAAACACCTTTTGACTAAACACACAGGCCATTGCACTCTAAAAGTAGCTATTAAATCTTTGAGAATTACAAACAACAATTAATGAAAATGTTAAACTAATGCTATATCTAAGGATATTAAATTAATGCTATATCTAATGCTATATCTAAGGAGACATGCTGTTTATAGTGGTGAAAAATAATTTTACACAGATGACCATCTTTAACTATGCTAGTTAAAATGTTCAGTATAGTTGCATAATCATGCCAAGAACTATGCAAGGGGAAATACTGCAGAAATCAAAGGTTGCACTGACATGTAACATTTTACTTCTGGTAGTTACATCTTTAAAAAAACAGAAATTAAGCATATAAATACATTTATGTATAAATTTATTTCATACTGTATATATGAACAATATACTTCAAGCTTTTGATGATAATTCATTTTAACATATTACATTATTTCATATATTATATATCTCAGTCTTAAGACAAATGACAACTATTACGTTATGATGCCATTTATCACTGCAACATTCTAACAAAATGCAATTTAATTAAAATAACATGCAAAATAAGAGCTCTTTCCAATGACAGGGCACCAAACTGTTGAGAAGTCCCAGTGATTCAAAGGGACAGCCTTATATCCATTCTAAACATGCTTCTGAAGGAGTAAAATAAATACACTAGGAAGTTTTTGCAAAAAAAGTCATAAATCAAATTAGTCTGTAACCTTAACATACTTTTACATATCTATTCAGAAGTACACTTTTAACAGTGCAAAATTTCACCTGAGTATGTACAAGATTGCAACCTAAATTTTTCTCTGAAGCTAATAGGACCGATATGGTTCTTTTTTTTCCCTTTTCCTGAATTGTGTGCCTTGCCCCAGACCATTAAATAGAAGTGAAATACTTAAGAGACATTGTTGTTACAGTGGTTTGCCAAGTTTTATCTGAAAGTAGCAAGTAAACCCTATTTCTTGAGTCCATGCAAAAGTGCTGAAGGAGAGAAAAAGAAGTGGCTCTCCATAGCTACTCCAGCCAACACTATGTCAACAAAGTATTTACTTCATCCCTCTAAAAAAGAAGACAGTGAAAAGGGAAGTCGCACACATAGAGCTATTAGGCTTACAGTGGAATGCCCAGCACAACACCAAGTTCACTGAGCTCTATGCCCAGAACTTGTATCCCTGTCTTTTTCCTGCACCCAGTTGCTTCTAAATTGAAACAGCTGAAGCACAGATACGCTTCAGCTGTTTCAGTCTAGAAGCAACTGAGTGCAGGAAAGACACAGGAGCACAACTTCCTAATTCCATCAGAAATGTATATGTTATTTTCCTGCAGTTTTCATCATCAGAAGTCCATGTCCTCAGAAAGCCCAGTTTCTGGTGGATGTAATTAAACTAAAAAATTAGGGAAAGGAGTGAGAAGTGAGAATGGAAAGCCAATTGCCAGATACTAGACATGACAAACCCAGGACCCTGACCCAAACAGACATTCCAAGGAACAGCCAGAAGAGAAATATAAGGGGTGCCAGTGAAGCTAAGTGAGCAACAGAGGAGTGACAAAAAGACAGCTGTGGTGCTGTGGCAGCTGAGCTGCTGTTGTGGAACAAGATGAAACGACAGCCTGGCACCTCTTGGGAGTACAGGTGCACCAAGAAAAGACCATGACTGGCTCCAAGGAAAACAAGTGGAATATTCAAGAGCAGCAGTACAAAAGCAGGGTGTGTGCGATCCTCCAGGCCTGTCACTCCCAATGGAAAGCTCCATCATAAGCCACAAGAAATTGAGGGTTGTCACCTCATCCTCTCCCCTTTCGACAGCCTCCTTGTTTTCGCTGTGCACGTGCTCTCTGAGACATGTGAGGCTGCTGTTATTCCAGCCCAATCCTCCCACCCCGGAACAGCTTTTCAGGTTCTCACACCCCTGCAGGGCTGCCTTTTCCAGCTGCTGCCTTCCTGGCCAGATCCTGTTGACACCAGATCCTCGGCTCCCCCAAAGCCGAGCGGTAAGGCTGCTATTCCCGTCCCTCACCTCGAGAGGCACTGCTGGGTCTCGGCACCTTGCTCTCCTCATCTCCCTTACCACCTTCCTCCTTTCCCCCAACCCTCGGGGCAAGGACTGCTTCAGCCTGCTTTCACTGTTCCCTTTGGCCACCTGGCTGTCCCTCTCTCTAGCCCAGGGCTTCCTCTTTGCCTCCTGCTACGAACGCGAGACACATGACAAACATTCAAAGGGCCGTTCTAAAAACGTAAGTAACGAAGGCCATTGCGTGCCTTCTGAACCTCATTGCTTTCAACACTATTCCATTTGGGAGAAACCCCCCTTTTTTTAACTCCTGTCTGAGCTAAAAGTTTTAAAAGACAAGTCGATCTTGCCACCAGGTTAAGGACTACCTAGTGGCGAGGACAAGGGAACAGGGAGTCTTCGGACTGTGTAGGGAAAGGCGCTCACTAAGGACTTGGGATGACATCAAGATCAGGGGGCCCCAGGCGGCAACCAAAAGCCCGGCTCGACGACACTGGAAGCCGCCTTGGCTAGGCTGCCGCGGTGGGAGCAACCGGCGCCCGCAGCGCAGGGCAACGTGAGATCGGGAGAGGCGGCCGGGAAGGCGCAGCCCCTGCCTCCCCCGCAAAAGCCTCCACCGCCAGCCCTTCCTCCCACGGGGACCGCGGCAGCGCGAGCCACCTGCCAACATGGGATGGCACCCCGAGGCGCTAAGGGGCGCCCGGGGAAAGCGAAGCAAGCAAACGGGAATGCCGATCGATCCATCCATCCATTGAAAAGCAAAAGGCAAGCGCACCAGCCAGCCCGGGATGAAGCCAGCCAGCCCAGCAGGTGCCTGCCTACGGAAGGACCCTCGACCGAGCGAGCCGCTATGCTCTCCTTCCAAACCGGCTCGCGGGTCATTCCCACGACCGAAGGGGGACAACGACAAGCACGCAGGGCGAGAGAGGAAAGGAACATCAGAAACGCCACCACGGTTGCCGCCGCCATCCTCAACCCATTTCCTCAGCAGTAGGCAACACACACACACAGAGAGAGAGAGAGACAGAGAGAGAGAGAGAGAGAGGGCTGGCCTGGCTCTTTACCTTTCATCCAGTCCACCACTTGGCTCGGAGTCCATTTACTGACAGGTTCCATAATAAGCGCCATGAGGCAAACTTTTTGGTCAGCAGAAGCGGGATGGAAGGCGGGGAAACGCGAGGCGAGCGCGTCCGGGTGGCCTCTCGGTGGGCTCCCGAGGCAGCTTCTGTTGGCTTCAAGCGCGAAGCAGCAGCAGCTCCAGCGGAGGAGGAGGAGGAGGAAGAAGAGAAGGAGGAGGAGGTGGCGGTGGCGGGCGGGCGGGAGAGACCCGCTGCTCCCCCCTCCAAAAAAAAAAAGGAAAAATAAAACCCTCGCCTTCGTCTCTCCAGCCTCCTTTTTTCTCTGCCTCCTTGTGCGTGTGTCGCTTTCTGTCGGCAGGTAACGCGCGGGTCGGCGGGAGCGCGCGCGGATAGCTACACAGTACGTGTCTCCGGGGGGCTCTTAGTTCCTGCTGTTCCCTCGGCGGGAGCCGGAGAAGACGGCGGCCGTGCGCCCCGGCACCGCCTTGCCTGCCGCCCCGTCGGACTCCGGGATGCCCAGAACCTTCTCCGCCGCGGCTCCAGGGCGCCCAGAAGGTGCTCGCGCCCAAGCCGCCGCCTCCGCCTCGTCGCCGTCGTCGTCCTCCTCCTCCCCTCTCTCTGCTTCTCCTTCTCTCCCTCGCGCCGTGTGTTCCCTCGCCGGCGTCCCCTGCCCGAAGAGGCGCACGCTTGCCGC